CATCAAGAAATTAAATAGAATTTTAAACTTTCTATATATGAAATAGAATTTCAAAATTATTTTTTACAAGCAATATTACCTAAATACAAATACACAACGTATTGCATTAATAAAGTTGATTGCTGCGCCAAATAATTGCTACTAAAAATACATAAAAATTTTATTGCAACATTTTACTTCGTCAGCTTTTAATTGAGAATTAATGAAAAAGCATCAAACCACAACTGTGAACGTCACCTCAATATTTCGCTAGTCACTCAGTTAGTATACTACTGCACGTACGATGTTCTACTGCTATGTTCTACTACTAACCCTGAACTTATAAATATCCTTAAGCTCAATGCATAATGCAACGCTCCTGTCATCGCCTCATGTATGCTTTATTTTTCATGTCATTTCGTTGCCAATTCATATTTGACTTTCACTTCCAGCTGTGTTTTTCACATGCCAACGTCAGGCAAGTAACATCAAGAACAGCAACAACAACGCCAGCAACAACAATGACAACAGAATAGTAACAACAGCAAAAAAAATTATGAAGCCAAGTAACGTAGGCAACACTTTATGTATGGGAACAACGTTCAACAAACGAAGTTGCATTCATTTTGCTTTGTTGCTGGGTATTCGTTCTTAATGCAGATTAAATTGCACTTGATGGCGTTGTCAACAGGAATAAATTGACCATTACATGTCTCTGCGTGTAAAGTGGCCTTTAGACATCAACGCGCGTTGACAAACACACGAAGTCTTCTCTCTCCATTACACATTAAATTTACCAACAATTTTTAAAACACACCCCCAAAAAATAATACAAACATTTTTCACTCATTAGTATGAAAGCAATCGCTGAAGTGTAAACAGTAAGTACCTATGCGTATTTTTTAAGAAAAATAATTTTTTTTTATTTGAAGTTCAAAATAAAATTGAAGTTTACCTTTAAATTTAAATACTAATCAAAAATTCATATTTCTTTGGTTAAATAGTAAAAAATATAAACCAGTCATTTGAGATTTTAGTCAATATTTCTACCTGTAAAATTTTATAAATAATAAATTTTTCGCAGGTAAACAATTCAAATAACATTTAAAATATAATATTCTTTGTAATTTAATGTTTGGTTATTTATATATTTTTAGTAACCCAAGGTTATTAATATTTTAATTCTTCTTAATAAAATGTTTTGGAAATTAAAAAATTTTACCTAGGTAGAAAATACAAATATTTAAAATAAAATTCATTCATATTTGCAAAGCATCGCATGCTAGCGACAAATCATGCGTGCATTTAAACGATGTTTACGCTTCCATTTCTCAAAATAAATAAAATTTTGCATGCCGACCAAATCCGACTGTATATGCAAAAACACGAGCGTGTTTGAAGAAATATCAAAATTTTTTGATTTTCGTCAACGCATTTTTTAAAATTTCAAATGTTACTATTACACAAACAAATTTCGCATTTCACAAAGTAGGAGAAAAGTAGGAGAAAAAATTCTCATGTGAGAGCGATTTTTTAGTATATTGGTTGTTTTATCTGGGGCGTGTTTAAAAAATTTTTAAAAAATTGTTTGTGTAATGGCAAGCGCGCGTTGACAACGAGCGTTGATGTCTAAAGGGCCCTTAAGAGTTTATATATGAAATAAACAGTAAAATGGATATGATTCCGATTTCCTGACCACGCCCATTGGGCAGCGGATTTTAGTTAAGATATTAACTTCGTTCTACTCAATAATTACACTATCTGTTAAATAGAGCTTAGTTTTTCAGATATCGGAGTTTAAAGTTGGAAAAGTTATATATGAAAAACAAATCAATCGGCATAAAACTGTACATAAAACTAGAATAAGAAATATAATAAATAGAGTGGACACCAAGAAAATGCGGTGAAAAGTGGTGGTCTGGACGCAGATCGAAAATCAGGAGAGCGTGGCTTGAAATGCCAACATAAAAGAGATCCTCCTCGAAGTAATGCGAAAGCGGTTCCGAGGAGGAATAAGTCTCGCTGAATAGGGGGTGTTTTAATCCTTATACTACATATTAATGTTAAGGAGTCGGACACATCATTCCGACGACGGTCAGTTTGACGGTGCATAACGCATTCCACCTCCTCACCACAAAAAAAAAAAAAATCAACATAAAACTTTCATATATTAGTTAGAAGGGCTCGTATAGTAATAATAAAGAATAGAAGTAATAAAAAATAATAGTAATAAATAATAAAGAAACTACAACGCTGTTTCGAATATTGCCAAGTACTTATTATCTATGATCTTGGAAAATAATCGAATTTTTATTTAATTAGTTTATAGTTCGTATATTATTTATTGCACTACAAGTGCAAGGTTTAGAACGCGTGCTTGTCAAATAAGAAACGATGTCTTTCAATATTCAAGTTCCATGTTTTTTTTAAAATATTATTTCAACTAATCAACTACTACCACTACTGTGTATAAAATTACTCAGAGTAAAAAGTTTACAAAAAGTAAACTTCATCCTTTAATATCTGCAGAAGCAAGCTACATCGGCATAAAGTTTAATAGAAAAATTTGCCGCAATTTTACTAAAATCCGTTGTCAAATAGACATGCCGGAGAAGTCGAAGTCGCGTAGTAAAATCAAGTAAAAGTTATAATTGAGTTGAAGCTATATCAAGGAACCATCTGGTAGTTCCAGTTAACGTAACTCTTATTTAAGCTTCCTCTAACTCATTCATATAAATTTAAATTCTTTCAATCATCTTAAAAGCCAAAATGAGTATAAAATACATAAAAATAACCGCAGCTCAAATAGTGGATAGTGAAGCCAAGAAGCATATCGCTCATGCATCTTCACATAATCTTCCCTATCCGATTCTTAGCATCAACTTCTCGTAGTACACTTTGATACCCTCACCAACCTATTGAAAGACTATGTGAGGAAAACGAATAAAATAGAGTTGTTAATTAAGTTAGAACCTGGTAATTCCCCTTCATGAAATAGAATAATAGAATCAGATATTTAAGAAGACTGGTGCATATTATTCAGCCGAAAATATACCTATTGACCTATTGAAAGACTGGGTGACAAGCTTCAGTAGTAAACTATGTGAGGATAACGAATAAAATAGAGTTGTTAATTAAGTTAGAACCTGGTAATTCCCCTTCATGAAATAGAATAATAGAATCAGATATTTAAGAAGACTGGTGCATATTATTCAGCCGAAAATA